TGAGCAACCGCTTAACAACCATGGCCATAAAGCTTGTAAAATCAGCTGCAATTTGTTTAACGACCATTCTCGCTTGGCAGTGAAAATTCTGGTGCCAATTGTCGTCATAAATCTAGGATGACTTGTAAGGTGTGAATCTTTTGCCCACATAGGAAAAAGCCGATATTATAGTAACATCAGGGGTTGGATTCAAAAATCCCAGTAACCGGTTCACTGCTTTGTATACCAGGCAGGAGGAAAAAGTGTTTTTTTTTTTTTCAAATTTCCCAATGTTGCCCTTCTGGTTTTGTCCAAGACTTGTATAATTTTGGGGGAGAAGGTGCCTGTTGACTGAAGATGTATAAGTGAGCCATGCGACACATTGTGATGCAGAAACCGAACCAAACAGATTTAGGATTTAAAAGTGTGTCCAATTAAAAGCAATGGGAAATTGATTAAACCTGGGTTTGATTAAACCTGGGATCGTTGTTTCAAAGTATATACCAATAATAAGAAGAAATAGACAATAATTGATGGGTATACCTAAAATTAAATTAACCTTTATTTCAATAAGCTTTCTGCAAGTAGATTTTCTAGTGGACTACGGTTCAGAACTTTATTTATTTAGATTGTGTGTGAGATACCAGCATATACTATTCTTATTTATTTAATCTGCATGTACACCACTTAGTAACTGCAATTCTCTGGGCAGCATCCAATGTGTTTTTCTGCAATTGTCTCCCCAACGTGACATCCACTGTGCCGTCTGTCTTAAGCAGGTGAGGCTGACGAAATCCATATTGCCTTGAGCCGTGTGCCAATAACTACCATTGTTAGCCTGCTGAAAGTTTTGGGCAAGATGCGATTTTTTTTCTCCTCCTGGAGTCAAAAGATCAAGGATCACTATTGCCCTCATGTGTAGCTGCTTGAAGTAAGATGACCGAATAATATTATAAGGGAGGGGTCCCCAATCCCTGGGCCGCAGCCCACTACCAGGCCTTGAACCTTTTGGAACTGGGCTGCAGAACCTAACTCAAAGAACTATCCTCTCCCCCCCTCCTCCCCCCCGCCAGTCCACAAATCTGAAAAGTTTGGGGATCTCTGTCATAAGGTATGGGTGGGCAAGTATGGCCCCTTTACTATCTATGGACTTCAACTCCCAGAATCCTGCTGGCTCAAGACTTCTGGGAGTTTGAAGCTCCCAAGTTGTAAAAGGGCCGTAGGTGCTTTTTCAAAAGGCAACTGGACTTCCTTTGTTTTTCTTTGAAGATGTTTCACTTCTCATCCAAGAAGATTCTTCTGTTCTGAAGCTTCCGTTCAGAACTGAAGAAGCTTCCCGGATGAGAAGCGAATCGTCTTCAAGGAAAAATCAAGAAAATCCATTCGCCTTTTTTAAAAAGCACCTTTGGGACAACCATGACCTGGATGACTAAGAATCTCCATAGACATAACAGATTAACAGATTAACAGAGTTGGAAGGGACTTTGTAGGTTATCTAGTCCAATCCCCCATCCAAGCAGGAGACCCTACACCATTTCTGACAGATGGCAGTCCAGTCTCTTCTTGAAAGCTTCCTGTGATGAAGTTCCCACAACCTCTGTTCCATTGGTTGATTGTTCTCACTGTCAGAAAATTTCTCCTTATTTCCAGGTTGAATTTCTCCTTGTTTAGTTATTCCTTGTCTGACCTTTAGGTGCTTTGGAAAATAGCTTGACCCCTTCCTCCTCTCTGTGGCAGCCCCTCAAATATTGGAAGACTGCTATCCTGTCTCCCCTGGTCCTTCTCTTCACTAGACTAGCCAGGCCCAGTTCCTGCAACCGTTTGTTGTATGTTTTAGCCTCCAGTCCCCTAATCATCCTGGTTGCTCTTCTCTGCACTCTTTCTAGAGTCTTAGCATCTCCAGTCATAAAGACAGGAAGGAGTATAACTGGCTTTGGTATGATGAAAGGATTATGTTTGGGACCTACAACATCTCCTAGGAGATATTGTCCCATCGGGAGGAAATAAAAGTGATTGTTCAAAGCCAGAGGAGCAATTTGGGCAGATACCTTACGGTTTTAAGAGAGGTCTTCTCTTCCCTTTGTAGCTGCCAGCTCCAGCTTGCATCCTACAGCTGGAAGGATTAGCTTGGAATTTGTATTAATCTAATTAATGGTTCTGTTTTTTTCCCTTCATGAGATGTTTTTGTGTTCAGAGGGCGTTTCTTGCTCAGAAGACCAGACTTCTGAGAATGTCAAAACCAGTTTCTTGCCTGTTTATTTATGTAAGAGTTTAAAAAAAAAGCGTTGGCAGAGCAGGAGTGTGACAGATTAACACAATATCAGCATGCTGATTTTAACATATAAACTCCCTGAAGGTTTGGGGCCGACTTGATAAAAGCTAGTTTTCAACAGATCCAACCTTCTTTCCGTTCACATGAAGTCTTTCAATCGTTTCCATTTTTTTTTCACATGTTCGTTTTTCTGTTTTGCGAATTGGAATATTTCAACTCCACCTTAGGGACCGCGGCTGAAATAGCTGCAGGACAGATAACAATTTAATGATATAAAAATATCTTTTTAAAAAAAGAAAAATAACACAAAAAGCAAGAGGAATAAAAGAATGACATACGTGATTCAACTTGTAGGACATACAAACACGTACGCGTACCTACACACAATTTTGTAGGCTGCCTAGAATGTTGCAATTAGCACAACGTTGGCATAGCTGATCAGGAATACTGTTTAGGTGGGAACATTCACAAGTAGACCTTGACTTACAATACTTCATTTAGTGATCGTTCAAAGTTACAAGGGTGCTGAAAGAGTGACTTATGACCATTTTTCACACTTACGACCATTGCAGCATCCCCATGGTCACGTGATCAAAATTTGAACACTTGCCTCCTATTTATGATGGTAGCCATGTCCCAGGGTCATTTCATCTCCTTTTGCAACCTTCTAATGTGCAGAGTCCATGGGGAAGCCAGAGTCATTTAACAACAAAGTTCTGAGCAAGGCTTCCTGAGACCATAATTAAGCATAAGCTTAATAAAACAACTCTTGTTTTATTTCAGCGCTGGGAATTATGTGCATTCCCAGCCCGTAATGAGTCCAAAACAATTCCCTGAGATAAGCACCCACCTTTATCTCCTTTGAATTGCTGCCAACAACTAAAGTGCCAAATTAACTGTAAATAACCAACCGAATTACAAAGTTCACACAGAGCTTCAAGGTTTAATCCGAACAGATGGACGACTTTGCTTCCTACAAAGGTTTCTCTACCTTTGCCTGTCCTTTATACCTTAGGGGAGGGGCAATCACCTCCAAGATTATTCCCGAGTCGCCCCTTTTGTCTCAGCTGCTCTTGCCTTCTAGCAGCTTTGCACACGTGTGCACTAGGAACAGGCTCCCCTTATTCCTCTGCCTTTCTGCTGCCAGACTCCGGAGGCTCCGGAGTCAGCACACCACTCCCTCTCTGCATCGGACGCAGGACCCTCATCTGAGTCCTCCCCAGACTCCCTGACTGGTCCCCGTTGTTCCCCACTGTCGAATTCCATTGCTGTCTGCACAGGCTGCCGGCGAACCAAAACAAACGGAGTTATTAACTTAACAACCGCCGTAACTCACTTAACAACTGTAGCAAGAAAGGTCGTAAAATGGGACAAAACTCACTTAGCAACTCTCTTGCTTAGTAATGGAAATCTTGGGCTCAGTTGTGGTCGTAAGCCAGGGTCTTATCTGCATTATTGGCTAGTAGCTGATTTGTGGAAAAGATTGGACTAGACCAGGGGTCTCCAACCTTGGCAACTTTAAGACTTGTGGACTTCAACTCCCAGAATTGCTGGCTGAGAAATTCTGGGAATTGAAGTCCACAAGTCTTAAAGTTGCCACGTTTGGAGACCTCTGGACTAGACCATAGTGGGAAATCTATTATATTCCAGATATTGTTGAAGTACAATTTCCAAGAACCCAGCTGACCTGGCCCACAATATGGGAATTCTAGTCAACCAACATACCAGCTGCTTGTTCTTAGCCTGAAGGCATTTTCTTTTGCAAGAAGGCTTGTCACAGAGACGCCATAATTAAATAAGAAACGGCTAGAATTAAACGTATTCCAGCAACACCATCTTTTTCTACCCGTGATCATAATATCTACAGTATACAGACAGTCCTCAACTTACAAACCTTTAGTGAATGTTTGAGGTAATAATGGCACCGAAAAATGTGGCTTTTGACTGTTTTTCACATTGATGACCATTTTAGCATTCCCACAGTCACAGGACCAAAATTCAGATGCTTGCCAACCACCTCGTATTTATGACGGTTGCAGTGTCCTGGGGGGTGTCTCATGTGATGACTTTTTGGTACCTTCTGACCAGCAAAGTCAATGGGAAACCCAGATTCACTTAACAACCAAATTACTAACTTAACAAATGCAACAATTCACTTAACGATTTGTGGCAAAAGGTCGTGAAACAGGGCAAAATTCACTTAATTGTCACTTAATACAAGAGATTTTGGGCTCAGTTGTGGTCGTAAGTCAAGGACTACCTACCCTGTTTCCCTGAAAATACGACCTGCCCTGAAAGTAAGCTTGATTTTACATGTGCGCTCAATATAAGCCCTACCCCCAAAATAAGCCCTGATCAAGATCCCGCCCACTCAAGTGCACAGATAAAAATTAAGCTAGAGTGGGTATGGGGGGTGGAACTTCCCTAATACTAACCGGGCCTCACACACCCCGACACCTGCTTTGCCGGCCCGTTTCTTCTGCAGCCAGCAAGGCTGGCAAGGCTTTCCTGAAGGCCTCTGTAGCTGATAACAAAGCTCTGGATCGATCCAGAACTGTTATCAGTTGCAGAAGAAGAAGTTCCTGAAGGCCTCTGACAGCGAAAAGGAGGTTGGAGGCGACGCACGCAAGTGAGGTTAATCAGTGGATGACATCCCCCGAAAATAAGACCCGGTGCCTTTTTTGGGTGGCAAAAAATATAAGACAGGAACTTATTTTCGGGGACACACGGTATATAGTATGGTGTAGCCTTTGTCATTTTTCTTTTTTTAACTGCCATTTGGTAAAAATCTTCTTGTATTTATGACAGAACTGTCTCTATGCTTCATAACTGCAGGGCCCAGAGACCATGTGCTGTTGAACAGTCAACCCCAAAGCTATGGGACTGTTCAACCAAGCAGAGCTGTGTCCTTATCCGGCAGCCTTGGAAAAGGGACAACTTCTGGATGAGCAGAAATGCAGCCGGTCCCCGGATTGCGAGGGTTTCCCAGCTCCGAGCAGTGCCGAAGGGGATTCCGTTTTTTCGGAAAATGACTCTCCGACAGGAAGCCATTCCAGTGGCTGTGCGGAAGATGACGAGGCCAGTAGCACAGAGAGTGCCCAAAACGGGGTGAGTATTAGCACCCTAGTGCTAAGAAGCGTTACACATTGGTGGTCCAGAATTCTTCTTTTTCTTAACGCCCAACTTATAACATTTCTAAAATTTTAACTTCTGCCTTCAAAATGATGTTATAGAGCATTGCATACCAGCACAACTAGACACAAGGACAGTTTTTTTTTTTACTAAGACTGTATTACTATTATTCTTCTCGTCCCTCCTATTACCTATTTCCTTTTCTACTTGTGGCTATAACCTTGTTGCTTGTATCTTTACAATTTATATTGTTTCATTTAGTTTCCTAGTATGATTTGATTGCTTATTTAGATCCCATGACTATCACTAAGTGTTGTATCTTATGATTCTTGATGAATGTATTTTTTATGTGTCTTATGATTCTTGATGAATGTATTTTTTATGTACACTGAGAGCATATTCACTGAAGACAAATTCCTTGTGTGTCCAATCACGCTTGGCCTATAAAGAATTCTATAAAATGTATAATACTCCTCTTCTTGTTGTTGTTTTAAATAATGAATAAAAACACCCTGTGGGATCCTTGGTGGTCTTTGAGATTGGTAGATTTCTTGCAGATGTTGCAGACCCAACTCAGTAACATCAGTACTAGAAGGGAATGGATTTTGCTTTCAAGCAAATCCAGACCAATGGCTGCACCAAGAAGCTGGCAAGAACAAATCCCACTCCCTTTTAGCATTGATGATATTACCTAGTTGGGTAATGAAATGTTTGCAGAAAAGCCACCAAGCTTTGAGAGCACCAAGGATCCCACAGTTCAACCCCGAGCTACAGATTTTCTCTTTTATCAAAAACATATCCTTTCTGGTTTAAGATTGCCTTGGGACTCACAATTGTGATGCCCTTTTAATTGAGTTTGCAATCTTCGTGCTCTTTCGAAGACACGTAGTAAGATTATAGTATCAGCTTTCTTCATGGAAACCAGGCAACACAAGCTTTCTTTCTGGTGGTAGGTGTAACCCCTGATTTTTTAAAAAAATGCATTTTTACTGAATACTTTCGGAAAAAAAATACAAGCGGAGAAGGAAAAAGAGGAACAACACAAAAAGACGATAGAAGATTTAAATACGAATGAAAAAAATATCAAGATTTACAAACATTGGAATTAATAGGTTTTCAGTAAATCGTTCATTAATTGTAAATAACTCTATTACAGGTGGTCCTTGACTTACAACCATTCATTTAGTGACCATTTGAAATGGCAATGCACCAAAAGGAGTGACTCACTACCACTCCTCGCATTTCACAGTGTTGCAGTGTCATCACATGATCAAAATTTGGACACTTGGAAAGCCCCATGTATTTACAATGGTTGTAGTGTCGCAGGTCATGTGACCATTATTTGCAACTTTCCCAGTTGACTTCCAATAAGAGAAGTCCATGGGGGAAGCTGGATTCATTTAACGACCATGTAATTCACTTAACCACTGCAGCGATTCGCTTAACAACCATGCCAAAAAGGTCATAAAATTGGGCACAATTCCCTTTACAACACCCTTGCTGGTCCCCATTGCGGTTGTAAGTGGAGGATTACCTGTATATATCTTTTTAAAAAACTGACCACCATTGTTCATCTCTGAACAGAATATAAAGGTCAGTAACCCTGCTGAGGCGTGGTGGCTCAGTGGCTAAGACGCTGAGCTTGTGGATCAGAAAGGTTGGCAAGTTTGGCAGTTCGAATCCCTAGCGCCGCATAATGGAGTGAGGTCCCGTTCCTTGTCCCAGCTTCTGCCAACCTAGCAGTTCAAAAGCACGTAAAAAAAAAAATGCAAGTAGAAAAATAGGGATCACTGGTGGCAGGAAGGGAAGAGCGTTCTGTGCGCCTTCCGTGTTTAGTCATGCTGGACACATGACCACGGAGCTGTCTTCGGATAGCGCTGGCTCTTCGGCTTTGTAACGGAGATGAGCATCGCCCCCTAGAGCCGGAAACGACAAGCACGTCTGTGCAAGGGGAACCTTTACCTCTATATGATCGCAGGGAAATGTAAACTACGGTAAGCTGTACCCCTGCTGCTAAAAGCCTTTTCTAATTCAGGAAGCCTCGTATCATTGCAGTATTAAGCCTTGCAACTAACTTATGATTCTGCCCTCTCTCTCTCTTCCCAGCATGAGGGTCTTTGTAGTGGAAATGATCCTAAAGGCGACCAACATGCGGCTCTGAGCAAAATCTCAGCTCTTGAAAACCGGCTCAAGGAGCTGCATCATCGGAAGAACGAGCTGAATATAGAGGTACACCTGAGCTTATTCCGTCCCCTCCCTGCATCATGAGGTTGTGGATTGGACAACAATCAGCACCTGTAAAACCAGTGTTGAACGGCCCACACCCAAGCCATTGAGGAAGAGCAGAGGCACCTTAGAAGGAGGACCGAGAGAAGGGCTTGTTCGCTCCCTTGGACAGGAAATCTCTATCACCCAACGCCGAAGGTGCTCACCTCACTGGAGGGAGCCATTTTCTCGGCCAGAAATGTGGACATTTGCATGCTCGGGTGTTCCCAGTTCCCGTTTCGCTTTGTGTCTCTGCACCTCCCCGTGGCTGTGTTGACATTGCATCAGTCAGCACACATCGGGGCACGTCAAGATGGTTTGGCAACTTTCCCCTGACCTGTCTCCTCCTCTTCTTGGCAGATGGACCTGGAAGGTGCCTTGTTAGAAGGGGAACTGCAGGAGGAGAGGCAGGAGCTACGTCGGGAGGAGGAACGGCTGGTGGAACTGAAAGAACGCCTCGCTGAGACGGAGCTCAGGTGCCGTGAAGAACGCGAGAAGGTGAGCAGCTGTTCTTTGGCAGTTTTCTTCCTTTGGTTCTTCCTTCCAAAATTCTCTAGTTTGCAGCTTCGGTTCTGGACTGGATCAGGACATCTGAAGTAAACCGTAGCTTGTCCTCTTCCAATTCTTTAAGCAGAGGCCAGTCGAGTTGGTGGTTGGATCTTGCTTCAGCACAAGTTGCAGGGCATTATGATTGCCCCAAAGAGGAGGCAAAATGCCCACAGCTCAATCCTCTAGCACCATCCCTGAGCGTGGCCTGTTTAAAACAGCTGCCTCCCCTTTCTTCAGCTTACACTTGCTGGTATTTAGTGCTTTGTGTTGGATTTCAGTAGTAGGTCCCTCCTAGCTCTCCAGCTACCAGTGGATGAAATACAAGAAGTCGTCTCACAATTCCTATCCCGCCTTCCCTCTGAGGCTCAGGACGTGTAAATTAAAAACAAAGAGACTGGTGGTTGGAAAATTAGCAAAGTTATTTCTACTACATTCCCATGCCGTCTGGGGAGAATGGGCCTCCACTCTTCGGGAGGACTTCAAACTGCTGGAAGCGAAAGAGTTTGTTTTGCGATATCTGTACCTCTTTCGAAGGTCATTGTCCAGCTGGACTGAACGTTAACCTTTTATGCTCTAACATCCCCGTTGATCTCTTCCCCAGGCCTGCTTGTTTTTCTTCCCTTCTTCGATTCTACCCTTTGGCTTCCTTAATTTCCTCTTATCAGAAAGTCTGCTGATATTTTATCTCATAACTTCTTGGACAAAGGGCTACTCAAAAGTTTGCTGGAAAATATCCAGTTTTGAACTACTGCTCATCTGGAATGGTAGGAGGATGCTTGCATGGGCAGGAAGTGAAGTAGAAGACCTTCAAGATCCTTTCAAACCTTACAATTTTGTAATTTAATGATCTCGTAAAAATCACTGTCTTGGTTGCATGCCGTGCTAGTGTGTTTTTCATCACAGCTCTATAGCAAGGGGAGTAGTATATATATATATATATAT